AGCATTAATAATTAATTTTCCAAAAAAATATGTTGTAATATAACTTTATTACACATGGTTGAATTCGTAAATAAATAATCTTTAATTTGGAAAAAAAAATTTGAAAATTTTAGAAAATTATGGATGCTGGTGGTATTTTGTTAAACAAAAAATAAATAAATTTTTTTTATCTATAAACTTTAAAGTATTTTTTTGAAACCGTATAACTTTTGAAAAAATTTTTTTCTTTTATACTTCCGATATTCGTTGAAAGAAAAATAGCGTTTCATCCCTTAAACATGAGTTAGCGCACGTATAAAAAAACACGTCTCTTAGATTTTCAACAACATATCTCATGGAGAATCAAATCGATTCCGGACAGTTGTGAACCTTCTCTTGTTAGAAAATTTTCAACGATAGAGCTCAAATGTTGCCCGTTGGTCCAATCACTTTGTCATACTAACTTTGTCTAATATTAGGTCATTTAAAAAGTATCCGCGATTTTTTCATTCAAAAATTGAACAAAAAACCGTGGATACTTTTTAAATGACCCAATACTTTTCGATAAGGCTCATCGAGAACTACACAGAATTCTAATCAGAACTACTCTTAAAAAATTTTTCGGCATCGGACTTATTATTGTTCTCAATTGCTCGTCTATTTATTTTGTTAAATTCTTGATTGGTTTTATTATTATTTATAAGTACTATCGAGTACAATTTTACATTCTTACAAAAAGGAATAAATATATTATGTAATTTTTAAAAATCACAAATATACCCATTTTTAAAGATGTAAATTAATTTTAGTGTCGGTTATGCTAAATGAACATGCTTAATAGAAATTTTTGTTATATTTAAATGACCGGTCAAGTTTTTCAGTTGGTTTTGCCGCCGAAGTTTGCGTGCTTTGTCAAGTGGCACCTAACGAGAGACTTTCAGGTAGAGTCCTTACACCAGAATCTGGCCACTCAAACAGCTTTGTAATAATATGACGTCTCATACATGTATGAAGATGCGTACAGGGAAACGCTTTAGCATTATTTGTGTCATTCTATTTTTTTTATGTTTAAAGAACGTTGTAAATAAAATGACAGAAGCAGCGCTAACAGTGTCTCCGCAAACGCACCCTCATCTTAATGATAGTAATAGCAGATAATAAATTAGTACTTTCGTTAACTCTTATCGGTTTCGCCATGTTATTACAAAATAATTGATTAGCTTGAAGACAAATAAGCGATAAGTGGCCAGAGTAAACAAGGAAAATTTACGCAATATTATAGAATTCGCAGAAATCGGGCTACGCAGATCCTTCGCGAAACGAATCAAGAGCGTCAATCTTGAGAGATCACTTGGTTGGACGAGTTTACGTAGTATTTAGTTCAGATATTACATTACCTTTGTATATTTTTGGAAAAGCGTCATTGACATTTTATATTTTCGAAAAAGTCTTCGATTGATTATAAGCTTGCAATTCGTTAAACAAGGATTATTTTATTTTTATGGACGGTTGATTTGGTTTTGAAATGTAAATACAGTATTATTGTACTACATACGATCTCTTGAAAAGTATCAGGTGACAAAGCGATTGGACCAATAATTTTCAAGATACGCGAGATATAAAAAATGATCAAAAAATTTTTTTAAGAGTTCCAGTAGTTCTAATTAGAGTTCTATGTAGTTCTCAATGAGCCCTATTGAAAAGTTATTAGGTGACAAAGCGATTGGACCAACGGTTTTCAAGATACGTGATATTTGAGCTCAATAATTAAAAATTTTCCAAGTCCGACGTCGAAAAATTTTTTAAGAGTGCCAGTAGTTCTGATTAGAGTTCTGTGTAGTTCTCGATGAGTTCTGTCGAAAAGTATTATGCGATTGGTTGACTACATAAAGATATTTCTGCAACCGATTTTTTAAATTTCGTTTTAAGTATACATCTCTTTTATTTTTGAATCTGTGTTGGTTTTATTTGCTCTTTTTTTGAAATTGTTAGAATGATAATTAACGTATCACAGAATTATTTTATAGAAAAATTTTTTCAAAAAAAAATTTTTTTTTTATAAATTTTCTTGTGTGTCAAAATTGTTTTTTATGTATCAGAAACTCTAGATATTCACAAAATAGAACTATTAAGCTGCTTAGAATTACTCGATCTCTTTCGCTGAGAAGTTAGCATCCCATTTTTCTTAAATTATTTAAAAATTGTTATTAAACGAATCTCGTATTAAGAAATACAACGAACTTTCGTTAAAAAGAAATAGGAATTCTAATCAGACCTATTCTGAAAATTGATTTTTTAAAAAATTTTTAATTTTTTTTTATTTTTCAAAATTTTGCATCAGGAACTCTAGGTATTCACGAAATAAAGCTATTGAGCCGTTCAGAATTCAATTTCGAATTTCGATAAGAAGTTAGCACCCCATTTTTTAAAAATTATTTTAAAATATTTATTAAGCGAAACTCTGGTTATTAATTATAGAGAACTTTTTGTCTCGACAAAAGGAAACGGGAATTCTAATCAAAACTGTGGAATTTCAATATTGGGATGCTAATTTCACAGACGCAAAAAAAGATTGGCTGCTGCAGCAAATTGGATGGTAAAATATGACATACAAGTAGCATTTTTAACTGGCTGCTGCAAACAATTAAAAATGCTATGCCATATTCAACCAGCTTTTTTTTCAGTATGCTCTTATGCGAGAATTTTATCGTTAATTATCACCCTGTATATTTGTATAGATTAATAAGATTAATTTTAATAAGATTAATATCTTGCCGCCATATTGACTGCGGTATTGACAGTGCCAGTGCATTGCAACCGCATGTGACAGCTCTATAAAGTTGACCAAATAAGCAGAATCAAATCGGACCGACCGGAATTTTTAGTACTCATTTTGTATTAAATTGTACCATCAATAATAATTTTGTACTACGTGCCATTTCGAAGAAAATCGTAACGCTGCTAGCTTAATATTAAGCTGGCAGGATCAATTAAAAAAATAAATAAATAAATAAAAATAATATCAGAAATCAATAGGATTGAATTTGTATTATTTTGTACCATCAAAAAAAATTGTATATGTGTCATGTACATGTGTCATTACCAAGAAAACAGCGCTTTTCAATTTTTGCGCACAAGCCCATGTAACCAACTTACGAGAGAAAGTTCACAACTGTCCGGAACCGATTTGATTCTCCACGAGATATGTTGTTAAACACGAAAATCTAAGTAAGTATTTTTTTATATGTGCGCTAACTTATGTTTAAGGGGTGAAACACCCCTTTAAAACGGTATTTTTCTTTCAAGACGAATATTCATCGGAAGTAAAAGATAGAAAACAATTTTTTAAACAAAAAATACGGTTTAAGAGTACTTTAAAGTTATAGATAAAAAAAATTTTGTTTATTTTTTTGTTTAACAAAAAAAATACTCTTACCACCCATAACTTTCTTAAATTTTCAAATTTTTTTTAACCAAATTAAAGATTATTTTTTTACAAATTCAACCATGTGTAATAAAATTATATTACAACATATCATTTTCGAGAATTAATTATTAATGTTTGTATGTATTTAGATTTTATAAATATATATTTTTAAGA